ACCCTCACATTGTTTCCTCTGTGTCATTTCTCCACTTCAGCCTGTTTCCATCTCACCTCCTACAGAATATAAAGGCTCCTCATGCTTTGGCACCGTAGGCTCTTTGCTGACTCTTCATTGTTGAATCAACTTGAGGACAAACGCGTAGCGTTGCTTTGTAACATTAAACCAACAACAGCTAAACGAGTTTCCTGTCAATGAATACGCATTTTGAAGGCAAACATTTGAAAGTTGAACTAAAATCGCCTGAATTGGTGAAGACTTGTGGAAAGAAGATCAATTCAAAGTCAGTCTATGGGTCAAGTATGAGCCTTTCATGTTCGCACATACCGCTTATATTATGTATACTGACAGATGGTTTTCAGGATGTTGAAAGCAAAAACCCATAAATGGCACACATGAAGGACACAGGGGACCATGCATGGCATGAGAGGAACATATAGAAACGTCCCAGGTAGGGGAGGTAATGTGCAACTAAAGGTTTGCTTGAAGCTTTATTCATACATTCAGGAATATCTGTAGAAACTTTGTGCTCTATTTTCCTCTACTACTATATTTCAAGATGATTTTTAGCATTTTAAAAATGAAAACAAAAGCCCATGTTTTAGATTTTCTGTCATGCCAGTGACAAACTTCAGTGTATTTATTGGGAATTTATGTCATAAACCTTCACCACATAGTTCAAAATTATGTAGTGGAGAAAAAAAAGTTTTAACAAATAATAATATGGAAAATGTGTCTCCTCTCCACCGATACTCCTAACTAAACCCGTCAATCTGTCAATGCAATAACTGTTAGTCATGTACTCTATTAGATCTGGAGCTAAATGGTGACTTGGTTGTTAGAACTGTTGTTTGTACCAGAGTCTGGGGTTCAGTCCTGGCCTGGGATCTTTGTGTAAAGAGTTTGTATATTTTCCCAGAGGACGTATGGCTTCTCTCCTTCCTGACCTGGTAAGAACCTTGATCTACGTTTTGCTTCGTTCAGAGGGTCTGGAACCCTCGGCTATTGAGAAACGTTTGTTTCCTGAAGGCGTGGCCCCTGTTGAAATTTGAAACAATTGGATCTGATTTTACCCAATCGCCAATGTTTGGCCATGACATATGTAATGTGCCAGTTTGATGAAGCATACTGAACATTGCGTGCGCCATAAACAACCCCTTAGGGAGCAGGATCAAATATCTTAAACATTCATCTTGCTCTGACTTTAATTGCTCAATACTTGGAAGCAACACGGACTGAATTGCTTCATTCCTTTGCTGCCATTGTTAAACTACAACCTTATATTTTCAGACTGAAGTTGTAAAACAGAGCAGAAAATCAACGTCATTGTTAACAGCTCTTCGTTTTGTTCCAGGTAATGTCTTTCCTCCTGCAGCTCAAAAACCTGCGTGCCAGGTTTATTGTTCAACTTTCCTTCTGAATTGCCCTCAGGAATCAGTGTGTGCATCGATGTGTGTGTCGGTGTAATGGCCTATGATGAATCAGCAACCTGTTGAGGTTGTACCTGTTTCTTTTCAAAGTACCACTGGAGACAGGGACAAACCCTTCCACAGTTTAAAGGTTTTAAATGGTGGACAGACTCCACAAATCTGCCCTCTGTGGAAGAGAAGCAAGTAAAAAAAAAAAAAAAAAAAACACTGCTGAAAGAAAGTCAGAAGAAGTTCTGTTTGCTTGCCACAAACCATAGAGCCATGTAGCTGTTGTGCGCTGGAGTTTACCATGAACACACCATCCCGTCATGGTATACGGATGCCTTCCCTCAACAGGGATTAATGGGAAGATGGGTGGAGTTGGATACGCAGAGATCCTGGAGGAAAACCTTTGGGAGGTTCATCTTCCAGGAGGACAGAGATCCTAAATATGCATCTAGAGCCACAAAGATTAAAGAAGCTTAGAAAAGCTTAGATTAAAGCACACATGTGTTAGAATGACCTAATAAAAAAGGGGTGTAGATCACTTTGGATAGCACTATTAGTAAGGGAGGTATTTTTGTTACTGCCAAAGATGCACATGCTGTATCTGTGAGGTTGGTTAACTAGTTAGTGCCAAAGCCTTGGAGATATTGATACTATCTGATCTCTAACAGAACCCTGAAGAACTCTACACATTGATTCACATGGTCACTTCTGATTTGGTTGAATCCACACTCCGTTTTAGAAATGAATCCAGATGAAGTGGAAGTCAATCCTGTGAAAGAAATACTGACATTTCTACTCACCAACATTCTAAGATAACTACTGTCTGCATTAACCCCGTTAACCCCACTCTGTAAACAGCTTTTCATTGATTGAAGTAAACCCTTTGCACGCAAGTACTAATGAGCATTATTGTTCTCGTGGTAACCATATTAGTGAAATTGGCTTATCCAGATCAATTGTAAGATCACTGCCCAAACAGATGCCCAGAAACAAAGACTGTAAAGAAGATCTACCAGCTGTTTGTTGTGAAAAGACTGATGATGCAATGGAGATGTTTGGCCAGATTCTAACTGGGACACAACACACCTTTAAGACTGGAAAGCCATTTTTTTTACCCAGTAAGATGCACATGGGCATATTAGGACCATTGTAGGTGAAAAGAGGAGTACATTTCCACCAAAAAACTCAAATATTTTAGATTAACTTCAGGAATTTTCTAGAAAAAGGTTGGAAATTTCAGAGCTGGAAAGAGTGAAAATGTGAGAGAAGAAAACTGAAATTTTTAGGATAAATTCAGAAATTAAAAAAAAAAAACTGGAAAATTTCTAAGTTTGAAAAATTAAAAAAATTGCTAGAAAAAAAATCAGTAGGATTAGACATTTTCTTGAAAAAAAAATTGGATATGGAAGTTTCAAAAGTTGAACATTTCCAAGTCAGCATCCATTTACAACAATGTACAAGGATTATCATTTCCACATTAGTAAATTCTCGACTTTTGGACATTTTCTGAGTTTCAAAAGTCAAAAGTTTGCAACTTTTGAAACTTTAAATTAAGCCAAGTTTCAGTTAATTTCTAGCAATTTTTCAACTTTTCAAACTCAGAAATTTCCATGTTTTTTTCTAGAAAATCTTTGAGATGAGTCTCAAAATTTCAGAGTTCTTATGGTGGAAACATACTCCTGTTTTCTATCTAGAACAATTCTATCATGCTGTTGTAGCAATGTGATTATTTAGCTCTAGAACAAGGCTTTTAACATCCTTGCTGTCTAAGTACACATTTTCATGTGATCTCAGTAAGTTGTGCTGTTTAGATCTCAAAGGATTTTCCCTTTAAGTTCAGATGGAAACTTGCTCTTCCACATATATCCACCAGATGTCGCCATAAATACTCTGCCAATTCAAAAGCCAACATCTGTAGGCACAAAAACTGAGGTGAGCTAAACCGATGCCGACATGTCAGCGAAATAAGTAACACACTCTTAGAACATTTTTATTTTAACCTTTAAGTATAAACATCGACATTACACTGAAGTTTAAATAATTGCCCAATATTCAATACTGAAATCGTAGACAATCAAATACAGGGAGCTAAATCAATGACTTTTGTGGCCATATTACATGTTAAATGGACTGACTTCAAACAAAAAGAATGAAGTCTTTTGTACAATCATACTTCAAACTGCAGCTCAGTCTGAGAGGTTTTAAGAAAAGGCCCTCAACATCTTAAACATTTTCACATTTCCTGAAGCCAAAAAAGTGAAAAAAAAGTGCATTTGCAAGCTGAAAGACTTGCAAATGCACAAAAACAACAAAAAACAATAATATATTCAAAAGATTTGAAAACTTGAGAGATTTTCTCTAATGTTTCAGAAATGTGTGACAACATTTTTATTGTCCAAGATAATTTTGTGCTGTAAAATAATATAATATATAATAAGAAGAAAAATATTAACACTATAACTAACAAATCTGCCCAGACACTGCTAGGCAACACTGCTTCTTTGGTTTAAGTTGGACACGGTACATTTTTGCTAAAATAAAAAAATAAATAAAAAAAGAAGTACAAACCTTTAATAGATCTTTTACATCTCTCTCTCTCTCTCTCTCTCCCTCTCTCTCTCTCTCTCTCTCTGTCTCTCTCTCTCTCTCTATAAAATAATAAATTTATTTTTATCATTTATTATTCTGAGGAAATCATGCACACTGTAATTTGAAGTTGTTGAGAGAGCTGGGACATACTTGCTGATTAATTTATTAATTTAATTTTATTTTGTTCGCAGCAACTACAATAACTTCCTGTTTCTAAATCCTATCGGCTACTCTGCTTTTGGGAAATCAGTGACGAATCTAATGTGTGTTTTTGCACTGACCAGTTTTTGTTGCATTACTTCCTGAGATGTAAAAAACCCTAACAAAATGTAGCATTTAAGATGCCTTATAAAAAGTTCATGTGAGTTGGGGAAGGAAGACGTGTCGCACCAGATGTTTATCTCAGCCTCACTGAGATAAAGTTCTGTAATATCATGAAGAAGAAAACTTTTTCTCAGGGCAGTTTGAAAATCTGAAAAACTATTTTACTGACCCTAAAATCTTAAAACTGTAGCTCAAAAATATAGGTAAATATTGAATTCTACAGGTACTTAAAGAGTCATATTAATCTTTATCCTAATTATTATTCATATCCATATTTTACCTCTGACAGATCAGATGAATCCTGTTGAGGTGACCCACTGCTCATGACCAGGTGGTCACCAGTGACATTCTTAACAAAATGAGGAAAACCTCCTAAAACTTAGTGTGAAAGCTGTTGCTTTTATTCATCACTTCAATCAACAGGAGGGAGGGACTTTTTCCACTTCAATGCCATGCAGACACACACGCGCACACAACACACACACACACACACACACACGTTTATATTAGCACCTCAACTCATCCTGCTGCATCCATTCAAAGCCCCTTCACCATGTTTCTCATTATAAACTGGTCAAAGCAAGTTCTGGACAATTAGTGCAGACTCAACCCGCTGCTCCATAAACAAAGTGTCAGACCTGGGCAACTATAAAATGGAAGCAAAACGCAGCAAAATAGCGAAAAAAGGCAACTGGGCCAAAGAAGGAACAGACTAAGAACCTGCAGGACAGACAAGAGAACAATGGCTCAGAGAAGAATCAGCGGAGGAAAACTCTTCATCACAGGTGAGATGGTTTTTTATTTTATTTTTTTAACAAAAAAAATTATTAATGCAATATTATACAAAACGAAGAAACTACATTTATTTCTGACTTTCTAAGCTGCAAGAACAAGAAACGTCAGAGTTCAAACCCACCTATGGAAGTCTGATGATCAGGAATGTTTCTTTAATATCTTTAAAAAATACATCTAACAGACATTTAGGTAATGCTTCTTCAATAAAAGATAAACCATAACAGTCAAAACCAAGCCCAGAGTTTGGCTGGAACATAAATTTCACACAATTATAGCTTTGAGCAAAAAATACAACGGTTTCATGGTTTTTAGTTAAAATTAAAGAACAAATGTGATTAGCTGTAAAATGATTCTGATGCACAAACCTTTAAAATTTCTCATAATTCTAGTATGAAAAACCACTAAAACTAAGAATTTTTACGTGCTTATTGCATGCTTTTGTTGTTACATTTTAAACTGATTGAGTTATCAGCCTTTGGTTTCCACATCATCACAGTCTGTGCTTTTTTGCAACTAGAAGTATTCCTTGCTGGGTGAAAACTCAGAGAAAAGTGTAGCAGCCTTTCTTCAGCCAGCTGACTGGCAGTGCACAGCAACAGATGGGGAAAGGAGAGCGCTTCCTCTAAATGAGAAGCCTGAAACATGACTGAAACATTTTGTGACTGTCAAACTGCTACTTCTTTAAATGCTGGAACACCTTGTTACCAGTAGTTAACATCTTCTTAGTGATAAGTAATAAGATTAACCAGAAACAAACCATATTTAGACACCAAAGCTGCAGAACTCAGAGTCTAAAAGCTGCCTTGTCTCTTGCGTCCTGCTCCAGTGGTGTACCTGGTGGCCATGTGCAGAGCCGTGCCCGTCAATGACCTGCTTGACCGAGCCTCACAGCGCTCCGACAAAATGCACTCTCTGAGCACACTGCTCACCCAGGAGATGGTAAGACCTCACTGCTACCTGATTAAACCCAATCAGATCACTTCTATGGCTTTGATTAGATGTCCTTGTGCTTGAGTGAACTCTTAGAGGTCAACTGGTTCTTGATAATGTTCAGCGATGTTGTCTTCTGGACATTGTGATGATCACCCTTTTCTTCTCCTAGGACTCTCACTTCCCTCCTTATGGTAGGATGCAAATGCCTCGTCCTGCCGACTGCCACACCTCGGCTCTACAGACACCCAATGACAAAGAGCAAGCTCTGCAAGTATCTGTAAGTTGGTCTGGGTTTTGCTCTTTTGTGAGCTTTTCTCTACTGAGAGACTTGTCTTTGAACAACTTCCTCATTGTTCTTTCACATGCTGGCTTCTTCTCCAGGAGTCTGATCTAATGTCTCTGGCCCGCTCCCTGCTCCAAGCCTGGGTGGATCCGCTGGCAGTCCTGTCTACCAGCGCCATCACCTTGCCTCACCCATCCAAAAGCAGCATATCAAGCAAGATCCAGGAGCTGCAGGAGCATTCCAAAAGCCTGGCGGACGGTCTGGACATACTGTCTGGCAAGGTGGGCAAGACTTCTTACACCTAATGTGGTTTTTGATAAAATGCTCCCCACTTGTACCTCAACACTCTCTCTCTGTTCCAGATGGGTCCGTCTGCTCAAGCCATCTCCTTCCTGCCCTACACCGGCGGGACTGACCTGGGCCAGGACCGGGTCACCATACTAAACAAGTTCAACTTCCTGCTGTCCTGCCTTCGCCGCGACTCGCACAAGATCGACAGCTTTTTGAAAGTCCTTCGCTGTCGCGCAGCGAAGTTGCAGCCCGAGTTGTGTTAAGGCCAGCGTGACTCTGGGGGGAGTTCTGCTTCTTACTATCTACTAGCTTAGAGCTAGCACTTCAACACCATTCTAATTGTTGAGTAGTAGGTAGTGTAAGTTTTCAGAGGATGGAGATATGGAGGAGGTATATAGAAGACAGAATGTGGAACTTTTAGCAGTTACTCAAAACACTCAATGCCCAAATTATTTGTCGGGGTAAACCATAAGAATTGGGTCAAAAAGGACATTTTTATGTTTTTTTTTTCATAGGAACAGATTTCTCCTGTTAATGGCATCATTTCCGCTGTAGTCAGCTGTAGTCATTGCTGCCTTTTGTTTTTTTACCGGGGCATTCTTTCCAGCTGGTCTGGCATTACAAATTGGCCATTGCTTCCTAACCTAACTCAGTAACTTCTGTATCATCCATATCTTGCCTCCTCCTCGTCTTGTCATTCTCTGAAACAGTTCTCCCCTCAAAGTAAGTCTCCCCAACAGCTGAGCACTGAAGCACAGGGTTTCTTCTTCTTCCCCAGTTTTACTCTGCAGGATTTGCACTTTAGATTTATTCCCAACTTCAATGCAGTGCCTGTCACTGAATTGTTTCCTTTATGTCTGTTTATCAATAAATATTATTTCTTGCACAGTGAATACTTGTCTTTTTTTCAGTCGAATATCAGAAAGGCATCAATCCTAGAATGTATTACTTGTAGCAGAAACTGTCTCCATGCTAACATGAAGGATTTTTTTTTCTTGTTGGTAGCTATATATCTGGAAAATAGCTCCATGGTTCTGATGATGCTTTTTGTTAAGTAAATGTTCACAGAAGGCCAAACTCAGGAGCTGAATTTGGTGATATTTACAATTGCAGGGATTGTACCAGAAGCACTTTGCTTCCATCTAGTGGTCAGAATTATGGAAAGTTATGCCTAAATTTTGCCAATGTGCATAGTAATTCACAATAATATAATATATGTAAAAAAGTAATATATGAAAAATCTGTGATTCTTTAGGACACCAATCACATATACGTGTGATTTATATCACTAAGCTGCATATTGTAGCTGCATTTAATTGTATTTTCAAATTAATTGATAATAACATTAACATAATGTTCTAATCCTAAATTTTGTCTTTGATAGCTGGAAATTCATCATAGTTCACAAAAATAAAGGTTTGAAAACGTCTGTCTGTGTGCCATTGGTCTACATAATGTGTTTTATTTGGTGAATTAACTGTAATAAAATAACTTTTCAGTAACCTACCTATCTGTTCTGGGGTGGTGGGGGAAGAAGGGGGGCTGGTTGCTAGAACAGACAGGTAGGGGCTGTGACAGAAGTTGCTCCGCCCCAGCTCAGCGACGCATCCCGGCGCTCAGCTGCAGCTCGGCATTCACAGCTCAGCCTGTTGTGGAAACACAGCTGACCGCTGCCGCAAGCCCTGTAAGCCGACACCTGTCTGCCGCCTCACCGCCCACCAAATGCGCCTGTTGGAGGTCCTGCGGAACTCCTCCTCGGACAAGAGGAGCAAACAGAAGCGGAGCGGAAAGCCGCCGCTCCCCGACCGCTTCGACATGTCCAGCTTCGAGGTTTCCCTACAGCAGCTCAACGACCTGCTGACGGACGACAGCGGCTTCTACAGCTGGCCCACCAAACACTTCCACGAGGTTTACCCGCGGATCTACATCGGCAACGCGTGAGTCCCTGCTCCGGACACACCAGAGCCATAGTTTATTCCATTTCTGCGCCATAAAAATCCATCTTTAAGTGTGTCATAAATAAAGCAACCAGCAGTATTCATATTCAGGTCACGCTCGTTGAACCACTTCCAACGATTTCCTGTCATTATTCAAGACTCTTGTTCAATTTAACTGAATAAAATCGCCTTTTATCACGGTTTATTTCTCTTACTGCTGAATAATTATTGTCAGTTTCAGCAAGTAATGGTTAAAGATATTTTGATGTTTAAAAATTATGTTGGATCTGTAGGATAAATGATTTGTTATAATTATATTACTGGAAAAATATAATAATAATAATAATAATAATAATAATAATAATAATAATAATAATAATAATATAACGATTAGTTGTGTTATCTCAGGACTCTACATCTTTCTAGAAAATGAATTCATTAAAGTGAGTGCAGCCCCACAGCCGTCTGTCTGCTGCTTCTCTTGTTTGTGGAATAAAAATATATACGTGCAGCGAAGAAATGATGGTCTGTGACCAACTGAGAACATCGTCTTCAAACCTAAAGGAGCTCAGATTAGATCAGGATCTTTGAGAGCAGCTGAAAATAGCTGCTGTGCTTCACCTGTCCTCTGTAGGAGGAAAACATCCCCGGAGCCATGCTCCATATTTCACTAACTGTACTTACTGAATCCTATTCAAGGCTAAACTAGCCTCTCCATGCTAATCGCGCTGCAGCAGCACAGACACCCACAGTCCTAATTCCTAAAGACGTTCCATGAATTATTAAGATTTCCTGAAACACTGGAAAACTGAATGGCTATGATAGTCCTAGCACTGATCTGATTTTTGAAGAACCTAAATAACAGATTAAAATTATGCATATATTTGTTGTATTGAATAAATAGGCAAAAAAATATAAAATTTATTCAATAATCATAATGGAAAATGTTGCTTATTTTGTCAATATGTAGAATTTGATTGAATTGTGATTACAGATCCTGCAACTTGGTTATAAATTTGCAACTTGGTTATAAATTTTAACCAAGTCGAATGCAGACACAGCTGTTCGTTAATATTTTAAAAGTTTGTTAATTAATAGTTTTATCAATTTATTTTATGCTATTTTATGCTGGCTCTTCTCAGAACGTTGTGATCTTCATGAGCCCAAAATGAAAATGAGTTTGACACGCACACTGTAGAAACTCTAGAGAGGGAGCTGAAGATTAGGGTGATGGCAAGTAGGTCAGCCAAACCCAAAGAGAGAGGAATTTATTAAAATAGATTTAACAGTGATTCTTGAGAATATGGATAAAGCACAAAATTTGAATAAAATATAC